GGTAGATGGAGCATAGCAAATGCCTTAGGAGTGATGTAAAGCACTAAGACACTTCAAATATTTTGGTTTGGGGTAAATCAAGGAAGGCTCCACAGAGGAGTTGTCATTTAGAATGAACTTTGAAAGGAAGGTAGATTTCAGTAAACTGAGAAGGCAGGAAGGGCCTTTAGGCCTATAGAGGCAACTATATATGTATCATGGACCAGAAGGAGGAAGGGGAGCAGGCAGCAGCGTGTGGCCTGGCCTTAGTACTGCACATACTCAGATTACATAAAGATGTAAGGCAGTTTGACAAACTCCTGCCAGGAGTGTCACACTCCCTATCCTCCACCCATGGGAGATAGCATAAATCAATCACAGCCCACACCTTTCCACATGACAAGATCAACTTGCCATCCTTGGCACAGGAGTGCAATGATAGGGAGGTACAACCTTCAATAACTGAGTTGACTAGTTAGTTGTTAATTGCATGGGCAATGGGGAGCCATTAAAGTCTTGTAAGTAGGGGAGTGACATGGTGGGAAATGAGAGCTATAGTTCAGGGTAATTAACTTGGCAGTACTATCTGGAATGGATTAGAGTGGTTATAAGACCGAAGGCCAGATATTTAAGAGGTTGCTGAGATGGTTTAGGTGAGCAATAATGTCTGGAACTGCATGGATGGCTGTGGAAAGCAGGGGCATATGTCATGTAGGTAGAATTTACAGCATTTGGCAAGTATGTTAGGATGTGGAGAGCCATGGGCAGGAGCAAAAGAGAGGGGTCAAAGTTAACTTTGAGGTTCCCAGTAATTACCTTAGAGTAGGAGAAAAGTAATGTTACTATCAAGAGAGAAGCCCCGGATTGGCAAGGAGGTAGGGGGGATCCTCATCGTGTTGCAAAGAGGAGTTGCAAAACAAAACAAACAAAACAAAACTGAATTTATGCTGATCTGTCCCACAAACATAGCTTTTCTAAGTCTTTTGCAGAGAACTCAAGTGGTGCAAAGTAAAATAACCATTTTTAAGCAAACACTGTTGCCCTTTGTCAATGAGCAGAATCTAAGGAAGGCTCCCATCTCTCCAAATATTTGGAAAATTGGAAAGCCTTAATTAGCAATCTGGAAGGGAGCAGGAGGGAAGGAAAGAAATATAAACCTAATCACTGTGCTTTTCAGGTTTCAAATGCTTCCCCAGTCCAGGTAATTTGCACTTTAGTAACAGTGATTGACAGTCAAGGAATGTATCTAACTCACTTTTATTTTTTCCCTTGGGGAAAGCACTTGAGTTCCCAATTGTTTTAAATTGCAGAAGCAGTAACTGTCTTAGGGAGTTATGAAAAGTGGCTTTTAGGAGCTGGGATCTTTCTCTGAAGGGAATATAGGGTCTATTTTAATTGATTCAGGTCATTAAGACCATTTTCTAGAGATGGTCTTTTCTGGGTGACTAAATATCACCTTAGTTGAAGGAGCACAGTAAGAAACTCATTAAAGGTCCAAGGGGAACAGACTTAACCAAAAATGTTAACAAGTTGCTACTGGTACCTAAAAGAAAACCAGGGATACTTTTTAAGTCACTTGCATCCCAAATAGAAATATTGTGACATGTAATATGACAAGTATTTAGAAAGTATTCTAAAATAAAGGTAAGGCAACAGATGCTCACTGTCCAGAGGAAGTTGTTTCTTAAACCGTACACTTTGATATATTTGTTTCCTTAGAAAAGTCAAGTGTGACAAGCTAGGTCAATTGCATCAAGAACATTACTAACAGGCTAACCAATGGTAAATGATGTGAAGGCCGCTCTGGAAATCTGCTTTGATGTATGGGGAAACCCACACATCTGATTTGGGATGGAGGAGACAATTGTGCATTGTTTGTAGGCGCCAACAGACAGGCTAAAGTCAGGGATCCTTGCAGAGACGGGATTAAGGTATCAGGACTATTCACATTTCATTTACATCACCCTGAAGAGTGGACCACAGGTTTTGCTGATTAACACACAGATCATGGCAAAAGGGCATTGTGTATTTGAAGTAAGATCAAGATCAGTAACAGCAACAGAAACCACGTGTGAAATTTGGCATATGGAGGTTCCTCTTAAGCGATTATCTGAGTTTTTTCCCCTTATTTTTTAAAGCATTTTTCCAAACCAGGAAGTTAGCAAAAGAAAAGTGTCCCCCAATTCCCGCAGCCTACCCAACGCTCTTAAATGCATATATTTATGCCACCTTCTGGTCTATAATAACATTATTTATTGTCAAAATTTTGGAGCTTTTTGAAAGGAAGGTGGGGTGTATGTTAAACATGGACTGATTTCCACAGTGTCTTCGCATGCAGAAGGAAGTGGTAGATTGATTACGAAGGCAGAGAAATCAAACTACTACCATTGGAATATTTCCCATTCTTTCAATTTGTATTATTCCTTCATACCGGAGTTTGGGGTCAAGGTAACAATGATGCAATTCTCTGCTTTCCTGGAGTTTTAAGTACTTACTAGGGGATGAGTGTATTTCAATGGCAGGAGGGTGTAGAATGATGCCTACAATAATGTGAATTATTAGGAGTTCTTAATTATCTGAATGTTATCTGGGCATTAGTAATGCCTTTCAAGTATATCTACCTTTTATGGATGAGACAGTACATTTAATAGGAAAAGTACCAGTGGGAATTGACAATTAGCAGCCACGCTTGAGCTAGATGCAGCGTGGCATATTTCATCCAGCTTAGATAGTCATCGACCAAACAGGCCAAAGTTTTCTTCAGTAGAAAGTCCCCTGCCAAATGGTTTCTGGATCCTTCACGGACAAACAGCAAAGGAACTGAAAGCGACCTTTTTCAACCATACCAGAAACTGTCTATGGCGATTCTAGACTCACAAA